CCAATAATTAAATTTTCCCCATCACTGAGAGGAAAGAAATCTCGTAGAAAAAATACAGATCTGATTGGATCTTTATCCAGAGTTAAACATTAATTCATTGAAAAGGCAACCAATTAATAAAGAAGTTAATAAAGAATTTCGAATAAAATTACTTTAAATAATTATTATAGATTCACTTCTCGTATAATCTCATTTGCCATTACAATAATTATTTCCAATTATTATTACGCTTTGCTTGGATAAATTATCCAAGTACCTTTATTCGAGCCTTATTCGTACCTTTATTATTTAATCTCATTTGCCAACAATTATTTCCAATTATTATTACGCTTCGAACGATAAATTATGTACCTTTATTCGAGCCTTATTCGTACCTTTATTATTTAATCTCATTTGCCAACAATTATTTCCAATTATTATTACGCTTCGAACGATAAATTATGTACCTTTATTCGAGTAAATTCTCCAATAATTAAATTTTCCCCATCACTAGGTACAAACGCTGGTAAACGATTATAAACGGTATACGCGGTTTCTATCGGATAATTATCGCCGAGAGGATGGTGGTGTTTTCACCGTGGCGTGTGTTATGAACGGGTTAGTTGACACGTAAACGGGCAGAGAGAGGTCGGAACGAAAGTGGCCGGAAAAATAAGGAGGAAAGGACAACCGCGAAAGGGGATAGCCTAGATGTCGGGGACGATATTCACGCATCGACGACCAGTTTCCATGGAAAGTATCCATCGCGGGGATAATGAAACGTTTTTACTATACGCGTGTTAACGCGAGAAGTCACGAAAACGCACAGAAAGCGTGGTGTGACTTCCAAACGGCCAACGCGTTTTACGTTCGGATTTCTCGAAAGGATTCTGGGACACTTTTCACGCTGCCCGCCCGTAAAAATAAAAAATTCGCACCAAGAATAATCGTTCGATTTCCAACAACAATCTTCCACTTTTCCCTCTCTCCCTTCCTTATCCCCCGGGAAAATTTCTCCATTCTCGTCGCGAAATTTCCCGACAACCTCCTCCGATTACCTTTATCGCCATTTTAAAGCGTCGTTCATCGTCCAATCTTCGAAAAGATTACTCTAGTTTCGTCCAACTTTGCAAACATTAAGATATATATATATATATATATATATATTCTTCAAGGAAGTTGGTATAAAGCAGAGAGAGAGAGAGAGAGAGAGGAAGAAACGAGGAAGATTTCTTTTACGAGGAGAACTAGAGAAAGAAAAATGTTTTATTACACGGAATAAATGGGGGAAGAGCGGGAAGGGGGTGAAAAGACTTTCTAAGGCGAGTTTTATCAGCGAGCGGCGAGAGTCTGGCCTTGTTTCGCGGAGAGGTCAAGTCGTGGCTAGGAGAGTTGAGTCGAAGCAGCAGATGTCGGAGATTCGAGATAAACGATGCACAATACCTCCTCTTCGTGACCGAACAGTCATCGCTTCCGTCTCTCCTCTAATTACCCACGCTTTGAAATATCTTCGAATCTCTTCTTCGCAGTTTCTTCCTCGTTCTCTCGCTCTCTCTCTCTCTCTCTTCAGAGGAAGAGTTGTTAGAGAACGATATTCAAAGCTTAGCGATACGTACCTTCTTCTTTCCCGTTTCGGATCGGCCGACAACGAAAGTAGACGTTCCCCGCGCTCGACCCGACTCCCCGCCTCTCTCTTTTCCAGTTTACGAGTTCTGGTGCTCGTTTTCGCGGTTATCTACGCCGATGGAGAACGACCCAATTCCGGTTTCGAGTAGGCCACCCGACCGCATCGTCGCACCGGAAGGGAAAAATCCATCCATCGGAAGTCCATCGATCCTCAAATTTCTCGATCGTCGATTTATTTCGAATGATAGATCTATATAAGAAAAAAAAAAAGAGGAAAAATGCATCCCTTCTTCTCTTCTTCTTCGATCCTCAAATTTCTCGACCGTCGATTTATTTCGAATCGAATGCTAGATCTATATAAAAAAAAAAAAGAAGAAAAATCCAACCAATTCTCCCTTCTTCTTTTTTTCTTCGATCCTCAAATTTCTCGATTTATTTCGAGTCGAATGCTAGATCTATGTAAAAAAAAAGAGAAAAAATCCATCCATCGAAAGTCCATCGAAATGTTCTCGATCCTCAAATTTCTCGATCCTTTCTCGATCGTCGATTTATATTGAATCGAATGCTAGAATCGATCTATATATAAAAAAAAAGAGGAAAAATCTATCCATCGGAAGTCTATCCAATCAACTCTCCCCTTTTCTCTTTTTCTTCGATTCTCAAATTTCTCGATCGATTTATTTCGAATCGAATGCTAAAATCGATCTATATAAAAAAAAAAGAAAGGAAAAATTTATCCATCGGAAGTCCATCGATCCACGAACTGTTTTCTTTTCTTCTCCTCGATCCTCGATTTCCAAATTTCTCGATCATCGATTTATTTCGAATCGAATGCTAAAATTGATCTATATATAAAAAAAAGAGAAAAAAAATCCACCCATCGGAAGTCCATCGATCTACGAACTCTTTTCTTTTCTTCTCCTCGATCCTCAAATTTCTCGATCGTCGATTTATTTCGAATCGAATGCTAAAATCTATATAAAATGCTAGATCTATATAAAAAAAAAAAAAATGAGAGGAAAACTAAATATATAAAAAGAAACAGCGAGAGAGAGAGAGAGAGAGATTGCGGAATCCCGGCCCGAACGAATTCCTCCGCGAGGAGGTTTGTGGGTCGAGGATGCAGAAAAATGGAAAAAATCCGGGACCCGCTCGGTTCCGGAAGCTGCTCGTAAAACTGGACGGAGGCGTTTTATTATACACGAATAAGAAACGTTCGCGTTTCAGCAAAAAAGTAAGGGAGTTTCTATGCCGAGAGAGAGAGAGAGAGAGAGAAAGAGAGAGAAAAAAACGATTCGTCGATGTCATCCTCGTCCCCTTTCATCATCATCGCCTCGAGTGTCCTTAATCGAAATTCGACGATTCGACCTGTAGCACCTATTTCCCGATCCGAACGAGATAATCGGGGATAAAATGGCGATTGTTCGACCGTGTCTCTCCTTTTTTCCCCTCCTTTTTTCTTTTCTTTTTCCTTCCTTTTCTTTTTTCCCCCTTTTCTTTTCTTTCTTTTTTTTTTTTTTTGCTCGAGTATCGAATGCGGCAAGCGTCGAGTGGCAACCG